AAGTGATCTGAAGGTTGTGCACTGATGTCCCAGCATGGAGAACCACCAGTGAGACAGTGTTTCTGTTTTCTGAGAGGATTGGATTCCTTCACCAAAGGGAAAGAGTGGATTTTGACAAAATCACAGGTTATTCAAAAACTGGGATTCACACAGGGGGTAAGAAACAGCTACAGAATTCCAAGAGAAAAGAAACATCATTGGTATCACTGAAATGATTATTCTAATGCAAAATAAAAACTGAAAAACTGGGTATTTGTATACACAAGGAGTGCAATGCGCACTACCCGAAGGATGGACATATTTGAAACACGGACTTAGGGGGTGGGGAACCAAGGGCAACACACATAACCTAAACATCTGTACCCCATAATATGCTGAAAAAAAAAAACTGAATTCAATGTTCAAGATGGGAGCCATGCTCTACTAGACTTTGTGCCACATAGTCATAGCCTACGTGATGGTCCCCAAAGAGAGGCAATGGACAACTTCAAGATAGTTATTAGTGATCTTTACTGAATGTGTGTAAGTTCTTGATAAGACTAGCCTATGTCTTTGACATTTTTTACCCTAATCCACAGCCTAAATGTAGTTCTCTCCCCCACCTCCTCTCTCTTTCTGTCACACACACTCACACACATACACACACACACACACACACACAATCCTCCATCTCAATATCCTTAATATCTTATAAAGATTTGGGGACTGACAAACAACTGCTCCTCTCAGAAAGTTTAAAGTCATTTTTCCTCCTACCCTCCAGGAATTTCGATTTTCCAATTAACGTCATCCCTTCTCAAATACAACCCTTAACTCACTCTCTACTTCTCACATCAAGCATTTTCAACATTAATGTATCCTAAATATTTTTTTATGTTCATTTGCCTGACCTCTTCTGTCAACTCCTGTTTCTCTAGTACATTCCCAAAGATTATATTGACTATTAGAAAATTATCTAATCTCTAAAAATGCCTCAATCACTCTCAAGTATAAAATATGTAAAAGTCATGCATTTTCACTCTGTAAGAGAGAAAGAAAGTTACAAAGAGCCCATGACAACTTTTCTTCTGGCCCATGTCTTCTTGCTCCCTACGAGGTCCCACTTTGTCAGGATGTCTACCTTGCCCCAACCACCTTCTCAGTGCAGTCTTCACATCCTTGTTCCTCAGGCTGTAGATCAGGGGATTCAGCATGGGAATCACTGTGGTGTAGAACACAGAGGACACCTTCTCCTGTTCCATAGTATTGCTGGAAGGAGGCTTGAAATACATGAATGTTATAGACCCAAAAAAGATGCCCACAGCCATGAGGTGGGAGCTACAAGTGCTGAAGGCTTTGGACCGTCCCTCAGTGGAGCAAATATGGAGGATACTAGAGAGGATGAAAGCATAGGAGATGAGGACAGCCAGTGTAGGTGCTACGGTATTAACTCCTCCAATAATAAACAGCAGGATCTCATTGACTTGGGTGCTGGAGCAAGACAAAGTCAACAAGGGGAGAATATCACAAAAATAATGACTGACAATATGAGACCCACAGAAGGACAACACTGACATGTGGGTAGTATGGACGGTGGCCCCAAACAAACCCAGTGAATATACCACAGCCATCATTATGGAACAGACCCTGTGGGAAATGACAACGTTATAAAGCAGTGGGCTACAGATAGCAACATAACGGTCATATGCCATGGCTGTCAGAAGGTAGCCTTCTGCAATTACAAAAACAAGGAAGAAATAAAGCTGAGTCATGCACTCCCAAAAGGAGATAATATTCTTCTTTGACACAAAGTTCACCAGCATCTTAGGGGTAATCACAGAGGAGTAGCAGAGATCAATGAAGGACAAATGACTGAGAAAATAATACATTGGAGAGTGAAGTTGAGAACTGGTAACAATTAAGAAGATCATGCCCAGGTTCCCCACCACTGTGACCACATATATTCCAAGCAACAGTAGGAAGAGTGGCAACTGAAGCTCTGAGCATTTTGTTAGCCCTTCAAGGATAAACTCAATCTTTGAAGAATGGTTTGAAGTAGCCATTTCTTACAAGGTATTATCTGTAGGAAAAAATAAAAGAATAGTGGAATATTAGACATTTTCTGACTCCCAAAGCAGAATGACATGCCCTGCCTTGGCTGTTTCCTTCCCTGATAGCCTCATCTGTCCCATGACTAGATTTTTTCATAGACCTCTTAAAACTCAAGGACAAAGACTAAAAGTATAACTCAGAGCTTTGGTTTCACCCAACCCTACTGAATATTCCTCTTTGAGTCAGAACCCTTTCATTTTGTTCCCAGGCTTAGGCCCCTGACTACTTCACTCTGAAAGAAAGCACAGACTATCCAGACCTAATTAGTTTTCCATTGTTACCACTAAAATAAGACTTCCTACCATCTTTATCTGAGCATATAGCAATAGAACATTCAGACTTTGTTACAACATGGCTTCCAATCTAGCTCTGATGATAGCAAAGTAGTTCATTTCAATTTCCCAATCATCTGCATGAATCAACATAATTAACATTCTCTAAAACTGAGAACTAAGAAACATAAAAGACCTCTATAAAGAGACTATGAGTACAAAAATACATTGTAGAAATGGCTCTGATCAATTCATACCCTCATTATCTCACTTCTGTTCTCCTAATGGAAAACTTGAGTGGACCAGGACATTCTTTATTCAATGTGGATGTAGCTGAAAGAAATGTGGTGTCAAAGATGGTTCTCAGACAATAGTTTAATACTTTCCTGTTACAGAAACACTAAAGATATAGAGTTGACTGTCAGGTATAATACTTGAGCTATCGACAAATCGATGCTTCTGTCCCTGACCCCTCCCTGCTATCTGCTATTGATGGCCAAATTCTCACTGACTTTTCTCTCTCAAAGCTATTGGCTCAGAACTGGAAAGTTTCTCATTGACTGACTTAGTTTCCCCTGAATTTCAGTTAGAGGATTTAGAGCTTCTTGTTTTCAGCCAAAAAGCTATCTATTACCTAAGGAACCAAGTTTGATAGTTTTTCACTGGGTTGTTTGAAGAGTGGAAAATGTTCCTTTGATTCATGACACTCAAGAGAGAAATATGCAGTATCTGGATGTTGATATGGCTTTAAATTCTATATTTCCAAAATTAGAAAAAAATATCAGTGGAGGAAAAACTTCATACATAGAGTGATATATGGTTTTCTTTATTTTTTATGAAAAGCACTTTTATGATCATAAGCAAAAATTTATGAAAATTTACTACAATATATTTTATATACCTCCTACAGCATATTAAAGGTGCTCAATATATGTGTTGATTTAAAGGGTGAATTAGATGGGTGTTATTATCTTCAAGAACACATGAGAAGAGAGCCATGTTTCTGAATTCAGTATATTAGACAACATTCTAAGAGAAAAAGAGTCAGAATTGCCACGATGCAACTCTAAGTAGCCCCTTTAATAATGATTGTGAAATTGGACCATCTTCAGGTAGATGCTTTGACCTTATTCAATGAACTACATGAATCAGACTGATGCCTAACATTTGTGTAGCTCATACAGAAGCCAACAAGCTATGAAAGTGAGCAGGGAGAGAAGCAGAGCATTTTGGGTTGAGATCCACTTAGTGGGAACCAAAGTTTTTGGATGGGCTCAGAGGGAGCAGACTAGATTTCCTCTTATAAACCCAAACAATATAGAAATTATTACCACTAGGAAGAGTTGTCCAGAGATCATAATCAGAGCAGATCTATCTCTCTGTGACTATAGAGATATTCCTGCTGATTTTAAGACTAAAATTGCTGATCTGTCAGAGTAAACAAAGCCCATTGGGCTATGTTTTGACAGAGCCCAATAAACTGAAGAAAACAACAGATAGGCAATAACATTTTACTCATCTGGAGATATTTATCCAGTGACTTAAAATCCCAATGTTGCAAAAAACCTGAACGTACATAAAAACACCTTTAAGAAATTTATATAAATGGTACAATAACCATTTATTAAAATTTATTCACTTATCAGTCTATATTGATCCTCTCTTAGCACCATTTCGTTCTTTTTCTTAAGAAATAATGTTAACATACCTGGAAGAAACCACAATAAAGGCAGAAAATTTGAAAGGGGTGGGGATACATGAGCAAGTTGTTAAATAAAGCTAAGCGTAGAAAGAAGGCCAGTTTAATTAACAGCAAGAAAAGGGGGTTCCAGAAAACTAATTTAAAAAACAGTAAAAAAAAAAAAAAATCCTCAAACTGCATATATAGGCCTGCAGAAAATTGTATCATATGAAAACACATACATACACAAAATAGCTCATGTGCATAAAAATGATTCCCCTAAATCATCAAAAAAGCATTTATTTGCTTTCACTATCTTCAACCCAAAAAGGCAGAGGAAGATGAAATGCAATGTTTAAATTTTCTATCAAAGTAATTTAGTAAATGAGGCACTTTATAGTTAAGAAAAAATAAAAAGATATTTACCTATGTGAGATTTCACTGAAAATGAAATTATATTATACTAAATAAAAGTGAAAGTCAGCAACTACTATTAAGTGATATGCTTTTCTGTGGACAGAGAATGAAATACTGTTTTGTTTCTTTCTCAATTTGTCTTCTCCATGGCTGGTGACCTATAGTTCTACTGCTTTCAAAACTTCATAATGCAACCACAGTGTAAGAGCCCCAGCTCCCTTGCTTGAGAAGCACATGTGCATAAGAAAAGTAACTGCTTGTTTGCGCCATCAGCTATTCAAAAACATAAGATCCTTCAAGTTAACCATGAAATACCCAGAATTTAAATTAAACTATGTTCATGTGTGTGTTTGCCCAATTAGAATAAAAATCAAATTATACCATTCTGCTTCTTTTACTTAACATAGAAACACAAATTTAGGACAATCTTTCTTGCAAA